CGTCATTCCCATAACGAACAAATCATTCGACGCGATAGCATAAAATCGCCTACAAACCATTCGAAGTGAGCACATCGTTTTAACTTTCTCAAACAGTGAACTATCGTCATCACTGTCATTAAAAAAGCAACAAAACCCGAATATTCGAGTCAAAATCTCGGAAGAAAGATCAGAAAGCGAACAACATTGTGTGCTGACGGACAACATCGGCGATCGACTGAGCAGTTGAAGCCGATTTCCCACGTGATTTTGCGGCTAAACTTGCCTGCTTGACTCTTTTGGATACTCTTGGCATGATTGTGTAGGAATACGTCCAGAAAATGTGATATTGGTACAATAAATCGCACGATAAGCACATGGAAGGCGAACCCAGAAACAACTCAAGCGCTAAAAACGTTTTTTGCGAAAAACGATGCCAGAATTTTCAGTTCTGCGCATAGCAATATGCGTTGGTACAGAACGTGTTGAATTCTGGGTACAACCTCGTACCGTGTGGGGGCTATGACATGACATGTCATGTCTTGTTATTCTTCATTTAGCATTCCGCTATAGTTGTTGTAACCTTTTTTCAAATATCTACAATCTGAAGACTGTAATGTTATTGCTAGTAATAACTAATGCTTGATGACAAACATAGTTCATCTTTACTATTAGCACCATATTATTGCAAAATGTTACAATAGTGAGTGCGAAAATGTAGCTGTTGTAAGTGTTGAAATCTGTCCTTTTTGACAGTTGAATGTATTACTTGAGAACAGTGTCATTCTGGGGATGCCATGCAATTGGTTTAGATATGAAACTGAGACCTCAATTCAAAATTATCAGCATGTAAAATTATAAACTTAGTAAAAATTAATTGTGAAGGAAAGTATCAATCATTGGTCAGACCACCATCACATTGAACAGGTTGATGCAACACCTATCTTGGATTCAATCAAAAAACAACAATTTTGACTTGTGGCAATAAAATTGAAATTCAATCGTCCCACAAACTTTACCACACTTTGAACGTGAAAAACGATACATTTCCTGTTGTTTAATAGTTTTACAAGGGATAATAGGAACAAAAGCATTGAATTCATACATTTTAACAGAAACAGCTCATTGTTTTGCAGGGAGAAACATCAGCAAATAATATATTGACTGTTACAATGCGAAATATTGAAAATTATTTGTCAACTGGGTTTCATTTGTCCCTAAAACATTAAAATTTTGCCCAACTTCTGTAACCGTATAACACACATGTCACTGGGCTTTGCACATCGCTACTAATTCAGCTGAGTGATACCTTCAGCAACCAGGCTTGGAAAATGACTGTGAGATTATGTACTATTTAATAGTGATGGCATAGTGTAGTGTAGGATGAGGTGAGTCTATTGTGTACATAGGGGTGACTCTCAGTGATATGTGTAGGATGAGGTGAGTCTATTGTGTACATAGGGGTGACTCACAGTGATATGTGTAGGATGAGGTGAGTCTATTGTGTACATAGGTATGACTTCTAGTGATATATGTAGGATGAGGTGAGTCTATTGTGTACATAGGGGTGACTCTCAGTGATATGTGTAGGATGAGGTGAGTCTATTGTGTACATAGGTATGACTTCTAGTGATATATGTAGGATGAGGTGAGTCTATTGTGTACATAGGGGTGACTCCCAGTGATATGTGTAGGATGAGGTGAGTCTATTGTGTACATAGGGGTGACTTGACATTAACATTTTATTTAATATGAATGTTGCCTGTGTATTATTTACCAAATAGCATTTTTTTATATGTATAGAATGATGTGTGCTTAGATTCAGAGTGGCAGTCACTCTGTATCTGTGTAGTAAACATGTCTAATAATACAGAGGGTTTAATTTGTTACAGATTAAAAATATTATGGACGCTAATGATAAAGTCACAAGTGATGCAGATCCAATGTTTTATATGAAGTAAGTCTTATTATGACGACTCAATGATGCTTGCTGAGTTAATTATTCTTTTCTTTCGTCAGACTAAATTTTGGTCTCTTCATTCCAAAATTTCAAAATTGATAGATATTTTGTGATGTAATATTTACTAGAGAGCAGTATTCATACATAGGTTGCCTGGTTGTTATAATTATTTGTTGTTTTAATTATTTGTTGTTTTTTGACTCCCAGGTATTTGAACATCTACATTGGTATGCCAGATGTAGAAGAAGGGTTCAATATCACAAAACCAATATCACCACATGAATGTAGGTTACGAGACATGTCTTATTCTGCTCCAATCACAGTGGATGTTGAGTACACAAGGGGACAACAAAGAGTGGTTAGGAACAATCTACCTATTGGCAGGTCAGTTAGCATACATTGTAAACCACTTTATTTTAGAATCATGGTTTGTAGTTTGTAGTCATCAAACTAGAATCCTTTTTAGAGTCTGTCTTTTCCAAACTGTTGACTGGAATCTTTCATGGAGTCACAGTTCCCAAACTATTGAATTGGATCCTTCTTGGAGCTGCAATGACATTCCCAAACATGAATGTTTTCAAACTATTGATTGGGATCTTTGGTGTGACAGAAGCTTTTGTATTCTCATTCCCACAAATGTATAAAACTTGCAAAAAAAATAATAATAAGTGTGGCTTATTATTTTACTCCACAGTATTTATTAAAGCCCTCGTATGAAGAAGACACACTTATTTTTAGTTATTTTTGTCATCATAATAATTACATGCTTTAATTTGAGGTAGTTGTCCTTGGCTTATACATGTAAGGAATCATGTCAGTAAAATAATGAACTTCCATTAGTCATTGAGCATAGCCAAATCAAGATAGGGACAATTACGTAATTATAAGTATTTGTGATTTTCCTCTTTCCATAGAATGCCAATTATGCTGAGAAGTTCTAATTGTGTTTTGACTGGAAAGTCACCAGCAGAGTTGGCTAAATTAAATGAATGTCCAATAGACCCTGGTGGTTATTTTATTGTAAAAGGTGTTGAGAAAGTCATACTTATACAGGAACAGTTATCCAAGAATAGAATGATAGTGGAAGCTGATCGGAAAGGAAATGTAGCTTGCTCTGTCACAAGGTAGGATTTAGATGGAAATTGGTGAAAAATAACGTGAGTAAATTTTATCTAAAGAATGTTAAATCTCAGATATATCGTTCATGAGTGGAAAATCCTGCCCAGTTTAATTAGTCAAAAAACAGGCACTTATGGATTGATCTTTGTGTGTGCATGCATGTGTATGTGTTCAAACCTATATTTTAGACATTCCTGGATTACATTAAAACTTCGCACATACACTGTATATACATGTAATATTAAACATATGCACATCAATTTGTTTCACAATCTGATTCAAGATGGCTGAATGGCGGCCATTTTTCCTCGCAAAAAATCATCAAAAATCAAGCATTTCTGCCATTCTGGAACCGGATCTCAGTCATTAATGGATGGATTTAATTCAAACTTGGTTCATACAATAGACATTATTGGTCATTGATGCACGTCATTTTGTTTTTTTCTGATCAAATTCAAAAAGGATAACTGACAGCCATTTTGTTTTTATTAATGAATCCGGTTCTGGAGCCATATCTCTGACATGCTTTGACTGATTATGTTCCATGAGTACAGGAACTGTTATTGAAATAAACCCATCATCATTATATGCATCATATAGTGCATGTTAGTACTAAATCCAAGTTGTCATGGGTTTAAATTTTATCTGACATTGATTATCACCTGTACCATCCAACCCTGTAGTGTGCCATAGACACAATAGTCGA